GCGCGTATTTATTTGTTCGCACGATTTATCGACTGTAATATTATTTCTCGAGTGACTCGGACGGCGAGTATTTTCGTACCTATATATATATACATTATATTATACGCGCATATAGGTACTCGTACTAAACCGAGCGGCTTAACCGAGAGAGTATTCTCACGGGAAAAACGAAACAATTATTTTATACACGTATGTTATATTATAACATATTATTACATTATATTAAATATATACCGGTGTGCGTGTTTGCATTGTAACTTTTAGCATCAAGTGGCTTCGGTGGGGTACTTACGCGTGTATATACGCAGTCCTCCGGGTTGTTGTCGCTCCGCGTCCGGGAACAACCTGGATACACTCGAGTGTGTCGCGCAAATTTTTTTTCGTCTCCTGTCCTCCGGCACCCCGCCGCAGTCACCGCCGTTCGCTCGACACATTAACGGCCGAAATAAAAAAAAAAAAAAAAAACGGCTCTTCAGACTACCCCTATGTGTACACGTCGTCACCACTGTTTTTGGAGTGCACGATCGGAGCCGATCGGTAAATAATTAAAACGTATCGACGACAATATTATATTGTATTATAGTACCTATACATAATATTATTACGCCGTCATATTGCACACGCCGTCATCCGAAATCGTTACAGCTTTACCCTATACAATATGTGTGCTATATAATTTAGTCGTATATGAATGACGAAAATCAAAATAAAATACTGAGCACTTAATTTATGTAACGCAAAACTATTAATATTAAACTCGTATAATACATGGGTCCCATTATATACCGTGGTTTCTGTTACAATTCATTTTTTTTTTAATTTTGTGTCAGGAAGACACATAATATGTACAGAAAAATGATTACGTTTTTATTTTCATCACTCAACCAATATAGAAAAACAAATACATTTTTGTTTGTTTCCTTATTTTCCGTATTTTTAAAATGTAGCCAACTTGATATTGTTCTGAAAATTATAACGCATTGTACACAAATATCCGGTAAATATATTTATCAAATGATATCAGCTTTAATTTCATGAAAAGGAGAGATACTGTATTAGGCGATAGTAAAATTATAATCGAAGCTATGTAATAAAAAAACTGATACATTTATTTCTGTAACTAAAAGATTTCTATATTGTAACCCATCTTTAAAAATTAAAACGGCTATTACTTAGAAATTATTGATAGGGCATGGTACATTAAATTGTTTGGAATATCTATTAAATAGTAGTTACTTTGAAAATGTAGAGAAGTAAACAAACAAAATGTTTTTTTTGCTAATGATTTCAAATAATAATTACATTTTTCTATACATTCTTAAATAGGAATCATCTGAACGCAAAATAAAAGAAAAATTGAATTGTATCAGAGGTATTAGCATCGGAAAAACACGACGGGATACCGTACGATACTCTCTGTAAACCACGGTTAACCCAATAAATGTGTTTCGGAAATTTTATTACTGAGAAATTTCCAAGGAAAAATCAAATTCCATAACGAGACTGAAGAATCCAATTTTTTAAAGGAATAAAATACTTATTTAAACTATTTGGAATATAGTGTTACAGTGCATAATATGTAAAAAATATTTTAAAAATATTCAGAATATTAAAAAGTATTCTAAATATACTTTATTTGAAATATTACTTATATGTCTGTATATACTATGTATCTATACCAGTCGAACAGAGTGATCTTTAATAATTTTATTTAGCTTCCCCCATAAAAGAAATCCTAGGTATGTCCTTGATCCTAATTATTGGCTCTAAAAAGTGACCTCTCAAAAATATCTGACCCACACAGTTCCCTAACTCTAGATCATCTACCAACTGACGGTATTTTATTTGCAACATTTTTTTTCTAGATTCTCAACAGTTTTTCTCAAAAATAAAAAAAAAACCAAATTGACAACTGATTATTATGATGATACATCAGTTTTATTTTTATTGATTTCCGAGTTATAACAGCAACCGGAGAAAGAATTACGTCTATAATCTTATTTGCAGTTTATCGAGTTTAGCTCACAATCATCTTTTGATTTCAATAATTTACCGTTGCTTTCGGTATACAAACTACATTTTCTTCCCTGTGCACATTTTTCTGTATACATTTCCGACTTTGTAAACCTATGCCGGCTTACCCATGGTGCGATGTATCTACATCCGGTTTTGTCGACTTTGCCAAATTTCGCCTTTTGAACCTCGAGTTCAACATAGTTACGTGAAAATAAAGCTCCTCGTCGCCCCGGTCAGTGTTTAAATCGAACGAATAGCTCGTGTTTACTGAATTAAACGGCGGCGATAACAGTATATATAATAATATAGCTATTATATTATAGCTGGAAAACACTCGAAATCAAAAAAAAAAAATAGAGGGGGTTGGCCGGTCACGTCGCAGCTTATATTTCCCGCGCGGAAAAAAACGTTTTAATTCGTACACATTATGATAATTCGGTCGGCGATTTCGGCACTCGTTTTAACTCTGCCGCCCCGGACCGAAAATCCGTATACACGTCACAAATGTACGTCTGCATCGTTGCTCCTCCATAACTCCGCGTAATCCGCGCAAAGGGCGTGCTAGTGACATATGCTCGTCCCCGCCGCCGATGTATACAAGAGAGAGAGATTATCGAATTCACACACACATACACAAACACACTATACGCACGCGGACGCCCAGCTGTCTTCTTTATTGTGCAGTTCACGGGGAGGGAAGAATGACGACCGGAGTTGAGGGTGGGGGGGCTTTACACATACGCCTCTTTCTAGTCTGTATACCGCGGTTTTTTTTTTCTTTACCCGCCCCCCTTCTCCCCGATCCGCTATTCGGCACAATGGGTGCCCCGAGGGTAACTTTATCCTCTCGCATCGCGCGCGCCGCACAAAACATCACCGTCGCGATATAATAATAATAATAATAATAATAATAGAGAGTCGAAACGCCATTTTTATATCCGCGGTGCCGCGCGTCCTGTGCAGCACCCGATAGACATATACCATACACCCGGTATATTAACTAGCCGACTGACTGACTGACTGACTATACAGGATACGGCAGTGGCGACGGCCCCCGACGGCAACAAAAACATCGGCCGCCGACTGTATTATATATCTGTGTATATATACATATATATATTATACCTATATATAACTTTGAAAACCTCGAAATCGGGGCCATGCTATGTGCGTCGCGTCATCGTCGTTGCAGCTATATAAACCGTTCGACTCTCAGTGTCCCGCGGCATAGGATTTAGATCGGGGGAAGGGGAGGGACACCCCTTTTGTGTTCGCGCGTGTGTATGCGGGCAAATTACGCGATGTTTTCGTGCGGTGGTAAGAATACGAGCTGGGGAGAGCGGGGGATGGGGAGGAAATGGATTTGAAAAAAAAAAAAAAAAAGTTAGCCGCAACGATTAACACACCGACGAGGGACGCGCACATTGTGTTACTACGCACTCTCGGACCGCATTCACACGGGGCTACTCAACAGAAAATTATTTTTTAACGAAAATCGCCAATCAGTCCATCACGTATACGTTACTGTTATTATCCGAGTAACAAATTGGTATGTCACGGATGGCAGGGGACGGTTTGAACCGCAGGATAAATCAGCATGTACCGATTTTAATCGTCTCTTTGTGCATGCGATAAAACCACAAACGTTCGGCACCAACCATAGTAGACATAATTTCAGTCGATGTAAACAGCAGCCACGCGTATCATATCTATTTATGTTTGTAATTTTGATATCATCGCTTTACCATCAGTGTAATCGCCTTATTTAAAACTATAGCGATTTTGCAAAATGATGCCGATCAAGGTCAACAAATTCCCATGACTACATAGAAAATGTTATAAACTAAATTCGATATCTTTTGCGTGGGCTTCTTGCGCGGACATCATAATTATTTCGAATATCGAAAAAACGATAACGATAGTTCAGAGTCGGATTAAGCCATACGTATGCTCTGGGCACTGATTGATAATATTGCATTTCGTATCTTTTTAAAACGATATTTATCGAGTTTGTGTTCTAATAAATTTAACTGTGCGCATATTATACCGTCGTGCCAATAACTTTTCGTTCGCAAATACCAATTATTATAATGTATTGTAACGTACAAAAAGAATCGCAATAATAGAAAATGTCTTATCGCATGACGCGGTGCGGTCTGCGTAAACGCGCATGCGTAAAGATCGCGGTCAAGCTAAAATTCTCTAGTAAATTGTATATCGGTTACAATAAAACCTCCCTATAATGGAATCGCTCGGCACCAACTGATTTTTCCGCTTTAAAAAATGTTCCGTTATACGGAGACTAAGATCTACGGGATACAGGTTATGGAAAACTGTTGTTTTTCCGTTTTAAGGAGATTTCCGCCTTATAGGGGTTTTGTTATAAGGAGATTTTTACTGTATATTTTTTGGTTTTGATCCTATTTCCGTAGATGGTCTGTTTTTCGTAGACGCTGTATAGGCATGGGCAACCGCTGGAAATGTATCAGGGAGGGGCATAATAAAACCAAACACAAAAAAAAATAAAATAAAAAATATAATTACGTTAGTTAATTATTGAAATTATATTTAAAATTTCGAAGATCCGGGGGGAAGCAGATTTCCCCGTCTTGCCCCCTCGCCGGACGCGCATGCCTGGAAATACAGTGCCTATAACGGATAATAATTAATACGGCTCTGTGACAGTTACAGGCAAATCGAACATTATTACGATTGTTTTTTTCACCCCGTCAAACACCATTCTCGTTACGCGCGCCGCACGAGTGGTTTTTTTTTTTTTTTTTTTTATTCATTACAGAACACAATAATCGATTTCTTTACCGGCCGCATCAAAAACATCTGTTTTAAAACGTATGTTTTCAATACAAACAACACCGCCGAGTGATGGTCACCACGCGCCGCGGTGTCAACGAAACGATATTTTCCGTTTTCCAGTGTCTTGTTCGTTCTGCACTGCCGCCGTCGGTACTCTAAGCACGCGCGATATGACTACCCCCACGTGCGCGTTGTTCGTGCGGTTAGTCGCCATAGCGCTGACGGTGATCGTGTTCGGGACGCCGCCGCGGTCGTGCGCCCGAGCGGACGAAATCGAGGATGTCGCCGATTTCGTGCAGTTAGTGTTGGCGGCGGCCGACCGCGTCGAGCTCGGGCTCCCGGACCGCTCGTCGGCCGACGTACGGCGGTACGGGCCGGTCGTCGACGGTCAATTGCCGCCCGAGCAGCGACGGTACCTGGAAAAACTGGTGAGCGTCTCGTCGGCAGCCGACCCGCAGACGCTGATCGCCATGGTGTGGGACGATTCGCTCATCGTAGACGAGGACCAAGAACCGCACAGCGTATTCGACCAGTTCCCCGGTAACAACGGTTACGATAAAGCGAAACGCCGACGGGCGCCGCAGATCAAGACGGCATAGCGGGTGGTTGTTTTCGAACACTATTGTATAGGTACCGAGCGAAATGTTCCGACGTACCTATTTGGTTACCGTAAAATTTGTGTAATTTAATTTTTCTATCCTCTATTAATGTATAAAGTGTAATTTTTCGTACCTATAAACTATAATAACACGGCGTTACGGTTTCCTCCGATTTTCTCCGTTTATAAACCGGACGATTATTTTATCGTTGAACGCTTCGTTCAACAAAATTGCCGTTTTTGTTTTGTTTTGAAAATTTAAGAAACAAATATTTCTACATAATGTTACGTTATCATTGTTTTCGTCACCCTTATTTTCGGGGGTTATTTTTGTGTCATTATTAAAACGCCGCGCGCCGTGCCGCTGCACAAATGATGCCCCACTTTACTCTCTCCCGACCCAATTAACTTAACAGTAGAATATCACGTCGACGGATTTCCGAAAATTCAAAATTTCACCAGCAATTTAACTAATACCCTATCTATTATATATAATACCCTATTTATGAGATTTTTAATATTGGTCGCTATTTGAAAAATAAAAGTAAGTAAATAGTCGTTTCAATCCCAAAAATTATAGGGTGACGATAAATAATGTAAATGTAAAATCGTAGAGCTGCTTGTTTCTTGAATTTTCTACAGAAGAGATTCGGAAAAAAGTTAATATACTTTCCGAGACAATGAATGATTAACGATACAAGAATCGCCCGGTATAGTTTATTTTTTAGATTCCGAGCGTAACGAATGGCCAATAGCCATTGGTTTTACTAAGATGTTTATTTTTTTCTTTTTTTAGTCTGTGGACGCGTTTTTTCGAAATAAACTTGCTCCGATTTTTACGTGCAGAAACATTTCTGAAAACTCAAGTTGTCTAGATGGTACTTTGAAGAGGGTCATTTTTTGATTTTTGACACCGTTTTTAAAATAAAAGTACTAAGTTGTAAAAACGTAGGAAAACGTAAAATTTCACGATTTCATTATTTTATAAAAACACCGACGACGTTTTCTACCAGAAAAAATGATTTAATCGAAAAATCACAAAATTCCTTTTTTGTTGCCTTTTTGATTTACTCTCTTACTGTATCATCGCCAAAACTTTTGAGCCACTTTTGAACATATAAGAAGTTTTAATTTTTGGGTGTATTTTTACTGTAATTCGATTATACATACACGTAGAGACTTGAAACTTGGTAATAACAATTATATTGGACTTACCTAGACGTGATAAAATTTTCAAAATCATCAAACGACTTTTTTTTTTTTAAATCAGATTTAAACAAAAATCGCAAAAAAAATTACGGCACTTAAAATTATGTATTGCCAAACTGCGCTTGGAATCGTCTTTCGTCAAGCAATGATTTATCGTTGCTTACAGATAAAAATAAAATAATCCTAACAAATAAATTGTGTATCCTACCTTCCCAACTTCTTATCTACAACAGTGGCCGCTCCCATCCCCAGTATAAGCTCATTTTTTTTTGTGGGTCTTGACGATTTCTAGACGAAAAAGCGGCACGGTATTCTTCGTACGGGATTGTTGTTTGTTACTTCATTCGGGATACGTGTCGATAATCGTTATCAGCTAGTCGTTTACACATACGTATATTCGACGGACAGATAACGATTTCTACGGACGAAATAATAAACGCGTAACTCTATAATTTTTTATTCACCGAACATTATATGGTATAATATTAAATTATATTATAAAAATAGCTGCAGGTAAAAGGACAAGTGAATTTTTTGGTATTTTTTTTTTTTCGTTTCTTTCGACCGTCGCCCATTCATTAAAAACCTAATATTATTATTATTTAAGCGTTTAAGAGCGATTTATTTTTTGTTTACGCGTATACGTGAGCAAATCATTGTTATCAATAAAATATAATGTAAGCGGGCGGACTTTTATTTTTATTTTTTATAAACACCGATTTAACTTGTTTTCCGCTGGTGACCTCGGGACGTTCCTGTAGTGATGTTTTAAACAATAATAATATACTTGACGTCCCGCGGAGACATCGCGATTGTTAATCACCCGCATTATTCCGCTGCTGCTACTGCTGCTTTTCAAGTGTAGAGGCACTTGAAAAAACAATAACGGAATAAAAAATCGAAAAAAAAAAAAAAATTCTCGTATTTTAAACTAGACCGAATGCCGTCGCCGCCACCGCCGTTCCCACACATATCCGGAGTTTTATGTTTTTTTTTTATTTTCCTTTCGACCGAACCGCGAGTACCCCGAGTTTTCTTTATTACAATAATATAATATTATACTAGCAGAGCTGTCCCACACGACTTTGCCCATTTACGGGGCATTGAACGAGAAAAAAAAAAAATAATAACGCGTTTCCACCCCCGTCGCAGTTGACCGTTGTTTCTCGGTAATTTATGTTAGGTTTTTTTTTTTTTTCAAACGATAAACTCTCTCGCCCGCGATTTTAACTAATGTAATCGTATTGGGGTTTTTCTTTCACCCGCGTCACCGACGTCGAATTCCCGTCGCACGATCAACGAAAAAGTGGATTCAACCAACAGCAAAAACCACGCGATGGCGAGTTGAATTTCGTAATCCGGCTCCGAGGACTCGTTCGCCAGCTTCTGTCACGTATTATAGTGTTCAGACCTTTGCGCGCGACGGATCTTGACTCACAGACAGCCAAATCTACAGACGCTTTTTTCGAGATATATTCTACATAATTATAGGTATTATACGCGTATCGAAATGCACAATATTAATATTTCACGTATATATTTATACGAGAAGAAAAAAAGAAATTTCAATCACAGTTTTACATAATAATAATAATAATAATAATAATAATAATGATATATTCGTGTGCGAAACGTGCTCGAAATAATAATAGTAAAAATAATAATAATAATAATATACAATCATAGCGTTAGGTACATTATAATAATAATAATATATATATATATATATATGTATTCAAAAATATTGTTTCGTATAATCAAACCCTGTTGCGGCGAAAACGAATAACATGACAGATACCTAATATTACTATTTACAATGGTTTATCCTTTATTTAACTTTCCCCCTCCCCCCTAATATCACATCGTTTTAGCCAGATAACGTCTAATTATTAATACAGTATTTACAATATACGTCTACAGCGGATATCACCCGGTGCACAGCGTCATCGGTCATATTATCATATCATAACGACACGTAAAGACAAAAAGCTACTGTCCAGTGTAACTAAACAATAATAATATGCAGTCAAAAAGTTATGCGCACAAATTAACCGTTACTTTATCACTTCTGAGTCATCGACATACAGTTCCCCCCCCCCCGTTGGTAACTCGTAATTATAATATTATAGTGACGCGTTACTCTTATTCTTTTTTTTTGTCGAGTAACTCGAGTCGTCGACGCATACGTTTCAAAACTAATATCCACGGACAAAACGAATAAAATCCAACATCACCCGCATTGTTTGAATAATTGAATCGTTTTGCTCGATTTACGTATGGCGCTCGTAAGTAGTCGTATTGATAAAGAATGGTAGTTAACAGTTGATGACGTTATTTGAAACATTTAGCTTGCATTCGCGCCGTATCAAGATACAATACGAAAATACAAAAGTAACTTTTAACCATATGCTCATAATAACTTTTAACTTGACTTATATATTATGCGCGTGTATAGTCGATACGGACTAAAAAAGAAAGGAAATCGACCGACGCGACTTATTCTTAAATCGGGTTCGGGTCGAACGTGCCGACGAATTCGGCACCGTTCAATTCAAAATGGCCGCCCGGTATCGGTCATTCCGATCGATATTATTTTCAACCTAACCTAAGATATTACCCGACTGCCGTCACTACGCGCGTGATATCCACTGTATGTATACACGGAAACGGTAAATGCATCGTGTACATACAATACGTTGTCATATAGCCGTTCACTGCAAACAGTGGCAAATTTTGGCCTTGCTGATGATGGTCTGCAGGTGCGGCGCGGTCTGCAGATAATTGGTGTACGTGCCGCACACGAACGGCTCGATGGGCGTCTGGCCGATCGTCCGCCGGAAGAACAGCTCGACCACGGTGTCCTTGGGCACGGACCGGACGCGGGGCAGGATCTCGATGAGTTCGTCGTAACGGGCTTCGGGCCGGACCGGGTGCACGTGGTGCACGTGCCGTCTGAGCGCCTCTCTGCTCTTGTCCGACAGCCCGTCCAAAATGGTCTCGGTCTCCTCGGGACGGCCTCGGTGTTTGGCGGACTCTGCGACGTGAATTATAATTTCGTTAACATTTTACGGAACTCGGCCGAACGCGGGCGCGCACTGGGTTCTATTTTTTGTACCGGGGAATTATTAAATTTGCGCTCCACTTATAAACGCAAATCATTCTTCACGCCGGTCCAGTCTATCTACCTACCTATACCTACCTAAGAAATCACAAAGATTACAATTGGTAATCTAATAGAATTTAAGTAGGAAAACGTGTACGGATCAAGATGCCTACATGACAAGGGCCCGCCGGTAAATTCCCGGTTACCCGGCGGTCCTGGTCGAACGTATCGAAATCGGAGTGCCGATATTGTACATTTTTCGGCGTAGATTTCGATATTATTTTATGTTGGACCGTGTTCGTGTTTTTTTTTTTTTTTTTTTTTTTTAAACAATTACAGTTTTCGAATATTCTGAAAAATTAAGTCTATCGGTTTTCATTTTTATGCCGAGAGGCTTGCGCGCCGCGACACGTGTTTTCACTAAAATCTCTCATTATGACTCGTACCACGATCCGATTCAGATCATTTGTTTTTTGTTTTTTTTTTTTTTTTTTTGTAGGAAAGAGGATATTAAATTTCTCCTTAGCGCATCGGACTTTGATTTTCGATTATGCAACCAAACGAGTCAGGATAACTAGCTGTGCGAATATGCAGAGTTTCCTGTTTCTAAGCTATGTGTTTAAACAATTAACTATAATATATAATTCCTTACGCAATGTCAAACGAATTCGGTGACCTAGTCGCGTGTTATGTGTTATGCGTACAAATCTAAATGCATTGAATAACTATTAATTTGTAAATAAAGTTGACCGGATATTTTTAAAAAATTACTTAAGTTACTTATATTTTGGTGTCTATTTTTCAATATGGGGTAATACGCATCCGTATTTAACACTCGTATTTATAAACTGATAAGTGATAACTATAACAATACGAATTTATAATCAAATTAATAATAATAATAACAATGATGACGATGTTAGAAATACTGTAATATAATTGTTTGTCAACAAAATCAACGGCCGTAACTATGGTAACTATGCGGAAAACAGTAAACAATTAGTTATGTACTCATGTACAAATTCCTACTATGGCGTTCATTAAAATAATTTTAAAAATCCGATAGAACCTTGTAAGGCCTCTTTAAAAAAAAACTTCGAAATTGGTTTACGATGATAGCATGATAATGTTTCCTGTATAGCATGTTTTTAAGCCTAAAAACAGGTCTCTCGTAAGCTATGAGTTCCTAGACAAAACTTCTGGTGTCTATATTATAGATAGTGATTTTTTTTATTCATGAACCAATAATTATCTCGGAGTTTTTCAGTTGATTTGATTTCTGTTTTTTCTAATCATTATGGGATCGTTTAAATTTTATTTTATAACCATTTTTAATTGCTTACCCCTACTCCAGATACCTTAAATAAAAATATACTTATGGTTTTCAAATAAAAAACTCCGAGATAATTGCTGGTTCATGATAAAAAAAATCACCCTGTTTATCGTTAAAAAAAAAAGAAAAATTGCATAGCGATCAAAGTGGAATTTTTACCTGATTTTAGCAATATGATTTCGTTCAGCAGGTACTGTTCGATCGGATGGACTTGTCGAAGTTTAATCGCGGCCAACGTTTCCTTGAACCGAGCGCTCTGTTCCTCCATGTCCGGCACCGATCCGAAGTTGGATCTGTGCTCTTCGTGCAGTAAAGAAATATCGGTGTCCGAAAAAAATTGCGCAGCCGTCAAGACGAACAGTTCGTGCCAGCTCTCGCGGAGTAGATCAAACTTTTCGAGAGAAAAAAAAACACACACACACACGCTTATAAAATAAACCGTATTACATATAAAACCTGAGTAATTTATGTGTCTCGTAAAATACGACTGAGATAATACATAATAATAACAATAATTACTTGATCGATAAAAGGTAGCGTCATCAGGGCCGGGAAACTTTTCACCGTCGAAACCGTGACCAGAATCGAAGCGGCCGTCTCGTAAACGGCTTGCGTGAGTCTCATGGCGTTGAAGAATCCCGGAGTCAGCGACATCTGAGAGAAAACCGTTAATATTAGGGTAAACGCTATGCAGGCACGTGCACTGTATTGAGGGGGGGAGAGATTAGCGATTCAACCCACCTCGGCATTTAAAAAAGGCTACATATGCCTATTGGTTAAAATGTTTTTACTTAGGAACACCTTTTTTTTAAACACAAATAACAATGTTTTCATTTATTTTCGCGGTCGTTTCCAATCCGAATTTTCGATGAAATTATCGGTATAGAAACGCAATCGATTGCAATTTTATTTTGTAGTTTCAAAATCAATTTAATTATTTTCGTTTTAAATTTATCACCGAAAACATCGCTCAGAATCGTTCGACGTTTATCGTCACGCACGAATTAAACAATCAATTAATTCAAATTTTAATTAATTCCCGCCCGAAACACCCGTACTGCCCCCTGAGACATATGTTCGGCTTTTTTCGGGACGTTTTAGATTTATTAGACTTTTTTTTTTTCGGCCTATATATTATTATATTTACCTGCGGTCTGAAAGCCGATTGCAGGTACAAATGCGAGTCGGGAACGTATCTGTTGGACGGCGTCGAACACGTGGTCGACGAACATTCGGGCGATCTTTTGGGCGTCAGATCCAACGGCGGCGAATTACTGGCCGACCGGTCTTTGTTCGGATAGCACAGTCCTTGCAATTGTCGACGGACCGTCGAAGTCCTGGGACCGCGTTCGTGTTGGACGGCTTTAATGTGCAAATGACACAATACAAAGATAAATATAAATTTCCTTGACAAACGGCGAACGTTTTTCGTTTGTCGGTACTCACCGTCTTTGTTCATGCCCGACAACACGCATTTGCGGAGCCGACAAGCTCGACACTGATTCCGGTGCGTTTTGTCCACCGGACACGCGCCTTCCGATTTCGATTTGCAAATATATTGTCTATTACGTCGAATAGATCTCTGAAACGATCAAAAAATCCAATTAGGTTTCGAATATTTTATGATTTTAAATAATGTAAGCCGCAACAACCTCCATTCGATTGTTCGTATAATATATAAGTCTGCGCCGGATTCCAAATTCAAACCGGAAAACGAGTATTTGGTTCTACTCGTTGGTTTTACTATTATGCGTAAGTGTTTTTCGTTTAATTCTGCTACTTATTAACGCGGAAAAAATGTTTCGCATGAATCGATCGGAGCGAGAACTCGTCGTATCGAAATCGACGAAAACACTAAGTTTGTCGATATCCGATTAGAAAAATAAAGCACTGATTAATGGGTTTGCCATGAGTAGGTTGGAGATGATTTGGCGATGTCTTTGTTTTTTTTTTTTTTTTCATCGCCAAATTTTCTTAAATCAACCGTTCCCTATAAATTGTCACATCCTCTAAAAAAAAAAGTCTTAATAAGATCTAAAACAGGCTACACGCCTATGGTCACTGATAAACAGAACTGCGAGTTTTTCGAAAGAAATCAATCGAAAAATAAAATTGGTTTTTGTGGTGCTTCCCCCCCCCCATTTAACATTAACCGATTGGCACCCAAGGCTATTCAGTCTATTGGTTAATCAGGTCTTGCGCCAGATTCGAATTCGTTTGCCATTTTCATTTACTATTCTACAGCTCTATTCGCGGTCCACCAGACTCCCAAAGCCTCAGTTTTTGCCACAGTTTAATATTTTCTTTTTACGCGCATTTAACCATTAACTTTGTACTTTTATATTTTAATGTTTTTTTCGTTGCCCGCTGATGGCTTCGTGTTTTAATCCGTATTATTGTGTATAGTAGAAACTGCTATGTAGTAACTTTGTTAAAAATAATATATTTCTTTATTTAAATAATACTTGTGGCTTATGAATTGAGATCTATATTATGAAGATCTATGCCCAGGGCCTCTAAACGTCCTAATCCGGGCTTGGATTCGCGCTAATCCAATATTATCGAACACAGTGTACTCACTTTGAAAAATCCCGCGCATCCGTCGCACGCGTATATCCCGTAATGTTTGCCGGACGAAAAGTCTTTGCACACCTTGCACGGTATATCGTAGAGGATCCGGCCTAAAAAAAAAAAAAAACGATCACCATTAAAAAAAAAAAAAAAAAAAGTCCGTGGGAATAACGTGACGCGTGCAATGTAGTAACGCGGGACGTGATGGGAACGCGTCAATAGCTGTACAATAATAATTGTCGTATAATGCGATGATGACCCGCAAATTAATGACCGACGAATTCCCCTGCACCGTAGTACTCGGTGCGCGCGGGACCACCAGATGGACCGCATACAGGCGCGCGCGTGCACCTGACGACTTCCGAAAATGTTTTTCCGCCGCCAGCGCGCAGTACGAACCGACGGGGTGGTCGTCTTTATTATGCGTTTTATTAACGTTGTTTTGATCCGGCGGTTCCGGTTCCGCGCTGCAGTTTGTTATAACAACAACACCGACGCTCGCCGCGGAAAGACGCAGGAAACAACAGGTCTTCCGGAAGTCCGCGTTACGCCCCCCCCCCCTACCGCCGGCACCTCCCCTCTGCCCGCGCGACGGCGCATATACCACGCGGCGGAACAAGTGCGCGGCACACCCTCTGCTGCCGCGCGGCGCGACAAACAACGCGGCGAACGGGGCGCGCGCGTAATTAGCGTGCGGGGGACGTCATCTGCGCGGCTCGTTTCGCGTATAACAATACCTGCACGAACCGCCGAGTTTCTACACGGTCACGTGAAAAATTCAATACATCACCGGCGATAACAACACGAATATACCGTGCAACCGCTGCGGGCGATACGCGTTTCACTGTGAGAACCGTTCGGTGGTGGGGGGGGTGTTTTTTTTTCCGGGGTAGGTAATATTGTGCGGCAGGCCGATGACGTGCGCACCGCTATCGCGCCGGACGCATATGGTTCGAGCATAATTATTGACAGTGATGTTTTCCCCGTTTTCCGCATAGGTATACCGTACTGTCCGCCGCGTTTCGATTGTATTTTTTTTCTTCCCAAGGGTCGTTTATACGTGTGATTAATCGGACCGCTCGTTTCAGAAACCCCCGTCCCTTCCGTCCGCCCACCTAGAGTCCTGCGCTTTTTTTTTTTTTCATAAATAATCGATAAAAATCGTCCCACGGTTTTAAAACCATCGGAAATTCCAAAACATTAATAATAATAACAATAATGACAATACTCGACTACTCGTTTAGATACCAGTGTCGTTATAGCTCGACGGCATATTGGGAAGGGAGAAAAAAAAACATTCGGTAATTAGCACATGATTACACGGAGTGTCTGCAGTAAATAACCTTATATCGCGCCACGCTTTTAAAAAATTATCCCAAATAATCAATCAAACGGTTCAATAAAAGCGTCTGGTTATGCAGATACAATACTGAGCACATATATATCAAAAAAATCGCGTTTCAGACGAACCGTTTGTTCTAGAAACCTCCGAAGCATTATAGAGATGAGATGATCGAGACATAATTCTGCAGAAAATCGATAAAATAAAAAAAAAAACACACACACATTTTTTACGGCGGTGTTTAGTGAGTTTCTGTGGAAGACGAACATTGCAAGACCGTATAGAAAAGACGAGACAAGAGAACCGGTTTTTGATATTTTTATTAGTTTTCTGTTGTAAACTGTGTGCCCACCTCCGAACTGATAACTTAACATAAAATTAGTCGATTTTGTTGTTTATGGAATCAATTGTCATTGTAATCCCGCGAGCTTTATACCGAAAACACGCGTAACATCTATTTAAGCGTACACAAGTTCGCTTTTACAAATTTCGAGCGGACAATACTTAACAGAGTTAATGTTGATATGTTTACTTGTCTAATATAGAAGTAAGGAAGTGTATTATTATAATACTAAATTATGTATAAAATTGAAAGTCCGTCTGTCTGTCTGCTTTCAAGTCTACGGTTTTATTCATATCGTCTTATGTGATTATTTAATTTGAGTTTCACAAACATACTACGGAAAAGTAAAATAATATACGTAAACCGCACTCGAATTGTAATGGAAGGGGGAACAAAGGTTCTCATTTTTTAATAACCTACTACTTCATTTAATTAACCCGAGAATTTTATCGGTAAGCTTTTATGGAAAGCGTCTGTTTTTATTTGTACAACATGACCTGTTAATATTTGTACTGTTCTCCAAAATTTAAATTCGATTAATTTAATTAATTTTCGGAACTGGGAACAAAATTGAAATTTTCAATTTTTTACTTTCCACTTTTTCTTTACTCTAGAGATCAACCTAAAAGTCTAATATCTTTTATATTCAGAGTGAATGTATTGGTTTTACTATGGCGTTTACAGACTAGTCTTCGAATACATAATAAAATGACAGTTTTTTTCTTTTTATCAACCCTATCTCATAGATTACACTAGCTCACTGCAGGTACTAAAAATAATATGATTTAGAGCCCAATGTGTACAGTACGAAATGTGAAATCTGGTACTCGAAATTCCAGTATATTGTAAAAAAAAGCGACCGGGGTGCCGAGCGCGCTCGCAGGATAAAATTTCACCCGGGGCAAAACGGCGAAAACGTATTATTCTACAAATACTTTATGTGCATACAGTTGAAAATCCCTTGAGGGCACTGATCCCTTTTGCCCTCCCGCCCTTAAGGGTGCCCATGTTAGCCGCTAAACATGCAGTAAATATATAAGTATATTTATATATTTATTGCTGAATAAATTATTTGTGAGTAGTAAAAATTATTTTAGATAGACAAAGTCCTTCTCGGGTTATTGTAACGTTTATCTGTAGCAATGCAGGTTTTTGAAATCAGACTAGCAGCCGCGTATTAATTTTTCCTCCCGATTCGAGCACTGTACGTGCCTGCAGGATAACGCTGTTTAAATTTCAATAAAATAAGGCAATTCCGAACATTATTTATTTATTATAGACGCAAATCGTCATAAAGTTAATCGATAATAATGTATTCGTTAGATATTTCGGTCGACTTACTTTAGGCTAATGATTGAATAGCCAATCGGAAGTAGTGTAATTTTTATCACGGTAATTAAATATTATTACATCATGTTTTCGAATAAAAAATAAATAAATCGCCTGTGGTTTTCTGTCACGCGTCCGTATAAAATAAACATTTAAAACACAACCACTATAGTAAGTATATTATAATAAACGCGCAACCTAACTTCAAATCGAAATTTCAGGTTAATATTGATAGGTACTTAATTATTGAAATAACGACTCCAGTACACCTTTAGTTTTCACTTAGTTCCATTAGAAACTATTCGGTTTAGTCAAACACCTTAGATATATTAAAAATCGTTTTTAATTTTTAAAACGCACGCCTCCCGTAAAGTCATCCGTATACGGTCGTAGCGCGTGATATTGTTAACGTTAATGATTTAATAAATTTAAAAATCAAATTTACAATACCAATTACAGTTACACGTTTAACTATTATTATTTTATGATTCATTCAACACATTCAATCGATTTCAACGTGTGATTATTATTTAATACATTCATCGTATTATTGTTTTATTGGTTTTCTTATTTTTTTTTTATTTTTTTTTTTTGTTCTTTTGTTTTAATAAATAACCGATACCTGCACATCAAGCGTTATACAGTAATGCGGTAAAATCCAATTTTCAATATTATTATAATTTTAATTGAAATCGAGTGATTAATAATAACTACTTAAATTGAAAACGAAATAATTTGTATAAATCGGTTAAATTAAAAAATCAACTATCGTTATTACTACCGTGCGTATTAAATATGCCTCAGTGCGACCGGTTCTTTTGTGTTTCTGTTTTGTAGGAAAAAGCTTCGTTCGTTTTCGTTTTCGGGATTTCGAGAAAAACAAAACTTCTTACAGAGCGCATAGTCTTGGATTTTGAAAATTATATTTTTAAACGCGTAATTAAAAATCGAAGTTCTATACGAAATTTTCGTCTTTCCGATGAGCGGGGGGGGGGGGTTTGGAAAAAAAGGTCGAACCGTTCTACGAAACACGAGTGTTTTTCCTATAGTTTAAGAGGAAAAAAATCGAATGTGGTTAAATATAAAATAAAATCCAAACTGATCGAACTATTCTTTGAGATTTGTAAATTGTTGATTGTTAATTTACACAATTCGTTAAAAGTCGCGAGCCCTATTAACACTATAAAATATTTATTTTCAAACAACAGCTTTTCCGTCCAAATATAATATTTTGTATATACGTAAAGAATTATTGTAATTATTGTCAAATTGCTTTGGATTTTATTTTTACCACGTGATACGTTTTTCTGCCAATAAAACATATTCGTAACGTACAGGTAATGTGACTCGAATTACCTATACTTGGCAGTTTACACATTTTGAAATAAGTATGTAGCAAGCCGATATGATTCGTTTCCGATATTCGATACCGAAAAATCACCATGAATTTATAATGAAATCGACCTATAGTTCCGTCGAAAATCCAATTTGTTAAACGCTTTTATTTTTTTATACACCGGAGACGTCTACGGAAATATAAAAAAAAAAAAAAAACCCGCTATGTGGATTAAAAAATACCGCTAGAAATAATATAAACGACAAAAATAGTTGGGCGCGTCGATGACGGTACCAAACGGAACGAATAGTTAATACATAATGTTAACGGGGAGGGGAGAAGGGGAGGGAGACTTGAACGGTGGCCCAGGATATAATTGACCGCCTATTGTAGGAGTTGAGACGGATAGAAAAAAAAAAAAAAAACCCTAAATCCGGACTTACTGTTCGTCGGTTTGGTAGCGACGTTGTCGGGAGCGCGTTCCGTGAAGTTTTGCATGATGACAACGGTCGTCCGTGAAGCCCGCGAACGATGGAAAACAACCGTGCGGATATATTATTATATTGAAAAAAAAAAAAAAAACCGTAACGGCACAAAAGTCTCGGACTGAACCGGCGACGAGCACACGGACGAAAATAAAATTCTAATACCAATACTCTCGACTGCGATCGAGATCAAAATGTCAACTCGCGGTCCCGTCGGACGACGGGGACGCGGCGAGTCCCTGGCTGCGGCAAACACCCCGTCGTGACCGGGAGGCGTGGCGCGCGGGGCCGCGGCCGGCGACGCTATTGGTCGAGGACCGTCGCCACAACCGGTGGTGGCGACGACGAGGGATCCGCCGGGGGTGGGTTTCGTGTGCGTATAACACGCAGTGCGCGTCGTTCGCGGTCCTTTGGAAGTCTCTCTCTCTCACTCTCTCTCTCTCACCGTCCCTCTCTGTCACTCTCGTCGTTCTCTGTATCGTCGGGATGTACGAGGGTATAACTTCGAATATACGCGTGATAAAAGTCATAATGTGAAAAAAAAAAAAAGAAAACACGGCCGGGGCAACTCGCGCGCGGTGATGGACGTGTTCGTCGAACCGAAAGGGATCTCCGCGGGCCGAATATGTATTATTATTATCATTATTATACCGCCGATGCATTTGTATACAACTATATATAATAATAACGCGTAGCCGGGCGAGGGGTTGTGACCAGGGGGGGGGAGGAGTGAGACAGGGGGCAGATGATAAAAACACAATAAAAATAATACGTATATAGCCTCTTTGTGTATATTATACGTTTAGATAAACCCGGCCCGAGGATAAACCAGAAGGCAATTAGTCCAGTTTCGTATATAATGGACGGGGAGGCCGAGAGAGACGGAGAGAACTCCGTTTTTCGTGGCTTAAATTTCGTCCGTCCGCGACTCGTCCTCTGTAACACCGCCGCGAATGTCGTGCTGATTTTGCTGCCGCCGTATCACTGAACCGGTCGAAAACGCGCGATAAATCCGCGTAATATTTAAGCCTACGGGTGTTTGAGAAGTTCGGACATATTATTTATGTAGCGATAATCCCAGTGTTGATACTAGCAAAGAGATTCCAGTCGGAACCACTATAAAACGGTCCTGTTTTCTCGGCTTATAGTTGGACTCGCACTCAATTATCTACTAATAATTCAATATAATCGGAAGTGTAATTTGTTATCAATAAATTACGACTATTATCTAGGTGTCTGTTTGGCACGTAAGATATTAATCACCTATTTTTCTTTTTCGCCTTCATTCCAACTATTCGAAATCGGACTCGTGCAATATTAGTAAACTAGTCACATCGTCTTCTGCAAGATTATTTATAACAAATTGCTTTCTCGAATCTCGATCCATTTCGGTGTCGAATTCTTTTTTTTCTTTCCATTCTTTCTTTTATTGAATCACTTGATTCTTCGATGGCCGTCGAAGTGGAATTTTTGAGTACTCGTGTATACCATGAGATAATCATGGTTTTTAATGTATTGTTTATTAATTTTTCAAAAAAAATATACAAAAATACACTACTAGAATGAACTTTAATACTAGTCAATTTGATTGGACTGTGTGTAATGTAAATGTATATATTACACAGTCACTAAATGCAATGTAGTACTCAATTTAGCAGTTTGCTTTGGTGACTCGGCCGGGTACTGACGTAAACCCGGCATTACGGATGGTGTCATTCTATCGATATAAGCAAATATCGATATTTGAGTAGTATCGATACTTTCCTTTTGGTATAAAATTCCTGATTAATATACTATATTAAGCCTTGAGCATGTTTTGGCGATACAGTGTTCGGTAAACAGTTGATTGTTGTTATTGCTACTCGCGGTTACAATATCACCATAACGCGTATTGTTTACTGTACAGTATTTTACCAACGGATAACTAGGAGTTTTCAATTGTTTACCGATTCCGGCAACCTAATTTTTAAAAAGTGCATTTAATTATCGTCATAGGCGCAAATAAAGGGACATTGAGGGCTAAGCTCTTCAAAATTTCAATAACCATAAAACCCTCCCAAATTATTTTTCTACTTATTGAATTTTTTAATAGTTTATGATGCAAGGTAAAATATTTATTTGTAAATAAATAATTATAGCCGATATATTTACCATTTGCGAATGACGAAAATTGAAAAAACTAGTCACGGTTTTACGACAATCAAACACTATATGCAAGTGGAATATCTTACTGTGCATTCGTTTTCGTATTTTTAAGATAGCGTAATTCATGATTGAACAAATTTTATTTATCATGGTGTTATTTTTAAATTAAAGTATTATTGTAATATTGTATATTGTAATTTATAACTCACAATATAATATAGGTACTATAAATAGGTTGCGTGCCCCAATAATAGGTTTTCGATCCAGTCTTGCTAAAGTGTAGAATGAGCCGTACATTTATTGAAAACTAAAGTCACCGTCATTAAATAAAAACAGAATATTCGTGGAATTTAAATTAAAATGCAGTCAGTGGCGTCATTTCCGTTTTTGAAAGTGGAATGGCCAAAATTTTTGACCCAAAACTAGCCCATAAAACATGAGCTCATGCTCGACCCGATAGTGGCTCGTTTATGTCAAGGAGGGGGCAAATGCTTTCCCTTTACCCTTCCAAATTGTTTAGGTATTTATTACTTACACGATTGTTTCATTGAGTAGCCTAGAATTTAACCACTTCCAAATCACAAGTCCTATTTGCGCTTATGGTTTTTATATAATTACAGTAGAAAATTACACCAAAACAATTTTTACTAATAATCAACTATATTGCCAAAACACGTCTATTATTAATGACGTGTGATTGATTATATTTTTTTATATTCGTTGAATCCACTAGAATATATTATAGATAACTAAATAGGAAGTACGTACCTACTTGAAATATAGGATCAATTATCTTAAGTTTAATAGTTTTGGCAAAAGGTGATTTATTTAATGACAAAAACAATGTAATATAATATGTATGAATTGTATGCTTACAAAAAAAAAAAAAAAAAAAAAGAGACTTGAGGATGTTTCAATGGATGGATAGGTCATAGTTATTACTTCAGTCTCATTAATTTAAAATTCAAATTTCCATTGACGAGAGGGAGTTTCTGGTAGAATAATTATATTAATACACTTAATGGTCGCATTAACTACGGTTAAAATTAGTTAAACAAATGAATTTGTTTTAACTACTTAAATTCTACATATTGTATATCGAAGGAATAAAAGTTATATTAGTATTCCTAAAATAAGTTATTTTCCTTCGAAAACGACTTTCCGGAAGTTAGTAACAAGAAACACTGAATATATAACCCATTAACATTTCAAGTTCAACAGTTAAAGTATATCGTAAGTAGCACTGTTCACTCTACACTACAATTCTATTCTGTTTTTCTTTTTTAATGAGAAATTTTGAATTTGATAATAACAAAAACAAAAAAAGTGGACTGTGCACTGATGTCTGTTGGATAGATTCGTCGATTATATATTCCGAATTTCTTGTTAAACTGCTCACCTTAAAAGATGCGAGATTTCCTAGATTTATCACTATATTAAAAATTATAAAGAATATTTTCCCTAATCTTACACATTCCTAATTTCTCCCGCCCACACTAGTGGGTTAACCTCGTACAAAGTATATCCGTTTTAACTTTTCATTGTATATAAAATCAGCTATTTGATTATTTAATTCGTTTAAATATCCTGCAGTGAATTAGTGTATTGCTTTGGACGAAAGAATCGTCGTTGTGAGCATATAACATACTCGTAAAATGGTCATTTCTCGTCTTAATAACTTACCGCAATCGTTTTTATGTTATTTCACTGCATTTTACGTGTTATTAATAAAGATAAATGAGGATATCTATATAATATATACATTTACATCGTTATTACAGCGTAAACTACTATATGTAACTTCCGATAAGGATTATGACTTTATACTTTTATGCTGATGATATTGTTACTCGAACTCGTCCAGCCATTCGACGACTTTTAAATGAAAATAAATCGTCAAGTCAGAAATACAAATGCGCATACGCACTGCACATACAGTGCCACACGCAAGGATGACTTTTTAAAGAGCGCGGAAATGACGTTTGACGTGGCACGGTTACACAACGAAATAACATTTTTAAGATTTTTCCATCGGCGAAAATGACATATACATCGGAATGCAATTTCTTTAACAGGTAATAATAGTCGAGAACATAGGATAATGTATGTAGGGCAATGTGCCGGACCATAAACTATACTAATAGTGACATTAAAGTCAATGTCATCCGTATTATGTTATACGAAACAATAATATTGTAGTTTATCCGGTCACGACCAGCGGCTCTTCCGTATCGATGAAACCGGCGGCGGCGCGGCGCGTAATAGGAGATAACAAAGCGACTATATATACGTCAAAACGTGACTTGTTTGAAATTTACTCGATACTCAAACTGTATTATTATTATCATTATTGTCATTTGTTCAAATTTAAGACGGTAAAAAAAAAACACGATTTTCTGCCCAGAAAGTCGGACGGTAAATTTTCCTTCTAGGTAATTATATTGCGGGCTTTAAAGCAAAATCTATAAGTTCATATAGATATTTACGGTGCTAAAGGTTTCAAGCCACAATAATTTAAAACCGATTTAGAGGATTGTCTTGGTGTCATATATTCTGCAGTACACGGCTGTATCCCATCGTCAATATTGTAGACCTACTCCGTAATATATTATACCGAGCTGAATTGTTCGGTAAAACCAACAAAACCAACAAAAAAAAATTCAATATAACGTGTCTCCCCCGATTCCACCCTAATCTCTATCACAGTTAATCGTCATTCACAAACCGTATCACAAAAACAATTTAATTCATTCCCCTTTAAAGATCAGGAATCAAGCGTGAACTACTCTTTAAGGATTAAAATGAAAGGGTTACATAGGAGATAAAAAGTAGACAGCGACCTTCGTCTTATTTTGAATGTCAAGTGTGGAAAGTTTCATTGAGATCGGAATAAAACTAGGTTTGTATAGACCAACAACCACATACATACATACATACAGACAGAATTTCAATTTCATATGTAAGATGCAGTGGATTAGTACGTAGCGGTTATATTGTTTATTTTTTTTTTCACTCGGGGAGTATTTCATTCAT